AAAAGATAAGCAAGCATTCAAGAAGCTCAACGAACCTCAGGAAGGACAGACCCTAAAAGACAATCTCCAAGACATAATAATCAAGCTCTCCAAAGTCAAAGATAAGGAGAGAATCCTGAAAGCAGCTTGTAGTTTGTTGTTGTTAAGTGCTGTTGAGTCAGTTCCAACTCAGAGCAACTCTGTATATAGTTTCCAAGGAGTGACTGGTGGGTTTGAACGATTGACCTTGTGGTTATCAGTCCAGTGCTTATCCTACAATGCCACATTAGGATACCAGCTCTTCTTCTTGTTAAGTGCCATTGAATTGGTTCCAACTCATAGTGACCCTGTATAGGGTTTCTGCGGAGCAACTGGTGGGCTTGAACCAGTGACCTCGAGATTCAAACAGACCTTGTAGTCCAGCGCATTAACCCACAGCCCCACACTAGGATGTCCCAGCTCTTTTTAGGTAGCTGTAAAAGGTCACTTTGAGCTCTGAGTGTGCCTTTAATCTCTTTACTATCTCAAAAGAGATTGACTCAAAATACAACCTAATCCTGTAGAATGCATCTGACCTCATTAACACCATAGAATTGAGGATTTACAATACATATGATAATTAGATCATGGATGGGGAGGGTGGTAATTATATCATTATATAACTTCCAAACCACTGAGAATCATAACCAGCTAAGTGGACACACAGTAAGATAAATGGAGAAAAGACTTCATTTTGCTTGGATCCACTATCAACACTAAGGGAAGTAGTCAAAAAACTAAACATCGTATTACATTGGGCATGTCTGTTGCACAAGATCTCTTTAAAGAGTTTTAAGAACACATATACCAGTTTGAGGACTAAAGTGTGCCTGACCCAAGCCGTGGTATTTTTAGTAACCTCATACGCATGTGAAAGTTGGACAATGAATAAGGAAGACTACAGAAGAATTGATGTATTTGAATTATGTTGAAGAAGAATATTAAAAGTATCATGAACTTCCAGAACAAATACATCTGTGTTTGAAAAAGTACAACGAGAATGCTTCTTAGAGGCCAGGAGGGACCAGTCCTTGGAGAAATACATCATGCTTGGTAGAGTGGATGGTCATGAAAAAGAGGAAAACCCCCAAAGAGATGGGTTGGCAGAGTGACAGAAGTAATAGGTTCAAGTGTAACAAAGATTGTGAGGATGGCGTAGGATTGGTCAGTGTTTTGTTCTGGTATATATAGGGTCGCTATGAGTCAAAACCAACTTGATGGTCCCTAACAACAACAACAACAAATTTAATCTATGATAACAAATATATATAACAATGTAATTCTACATAATTTAGATGGGCAATGAGTTTGAATTTGAATTCTTGATGGCTGTCTTGGTAGATTTTGTAGTGTCTATTTACAATTAAGGTGGGACTAAGGAGCTCTGATAGCGTAGTGGTTACGACTCAGGCTGCTATCCTCAGGGTCAGCAGTTCAAAACTACTACCTGTTCCTTGGGAGAAAGATGAGGCTTTCTGCTCCTGTAAAGATTTACAGCCTTGGAAACTCTGTACAGGGTCGCTATGAGTCGGAACCAACTCGACAGCACTTCACAACAACAATTTACTGTTAAATTAGTATCCTCAAGAATATGACGGAAGTTGTTTTAGGGCAAACAACATCCAGTCCTCATTGATATTAGTACCTAGTGATAATCATCAATGCAGATAATGTCTTAATTATTTGAAAAAGACGGAAAGAACTTTGATATAGTAATTGAAAACAGAATATAAACTCTGTTTATTGAGTTAAAACTTTGTCCAGGTTATAAATTTTCTTATAAATTCCAGTGAATGTGATGGTAGGAGTTAGCATTCATTACATATAGTGTAGACAGTGATCTTCACGGGTTCTAAAAGTGACTTAGAAACTAGACAAATAAAAATCAGATAGAAAATTATATATACTGATACATTTTTGTTAAACAGTGGTATAGTTTTTGAAGTTTCTAGTAATTAGCTTCTAGTAAATATGAAAAGCTCGGTGAAATTGGTAAAAATAAAATCGGGAATTTTATTTTTTGGAAAAGAATTCTTTTCTAATATCATTTTTCTATTTAAAATAGATGCTAAAATAATTCTATATTACAAATACTGTCAGGATAATCTTCACAAAACTAGCATTAGATGTATTGTCTTCTAATAAGGAGGTTTAGAATAATAAACACTAATTTTTGTTAAAGACCTTATAATGCTTCATGGTAAGATTAGAACAGGTCCACCAGAACCCATAAATTGTTTATCAATTTTCCATTCTTTAAATACACTTTCAACCCCCACCCCCCTGGCCAATAAAAGTGACCTTACTCTTTTTTTTCCTGTCTGTCAATATAAAATGGTCTTTCACTGAATCATTTAAATTACTGTAACTTGAGGATCTTTAAGATATTTGGATTGTTTTGTTTAGGTAAACATTCTGTTTATTAGGAATTCGTGACTGACGTTTTTGTTTGGAGCAAACGCTCTATTTCGTCCACTGTGATACTTCACTTTTAGGGCAGAAGAGCTTGATAATGCTATTCACCTCTAGCCCTCTATAACAGAGTTTAATACCAAATGATTCATTGACCTTTTGAAATTATAAATTGCTGTTGTTTAAATCAGTCATGTCTATTGTATTTCTAGCTCTTTCTGTACCATAGAAAATTAAAACAAAATCATTTGTGTACTACTCTTCTTTTTTATAAGTTTTTATTATGAATTGAGTGAAGGTTTACAGAGGTCATTATTTTCATATGCAGCAAATGATACACTTTATATCATCTCAGTGACTGTAGTCCCTTCCGTGCAACAACAGTTAATCCACGTCTCCCTGTGCTTCCTGTTTCCATTCCACTCATCTTCTCATCCTTTCTCAACTCTGTCCTTAGGTAAATGTTGCCCTTTTGATTTTGAATGACTGACTATTCCATGGTGAGCATAACTTACTAAGGTTGTTGTCCCTCCGGTATGTGCACCACTTTCCTCCAGTACTAGTGACATTTATTATTTAAACAATGGTGGTGGAGGTGGCTGTGTGCCTGAGTTGATTCCAACTCATAGTGACCCTATATAGGGTTCCTGAGGCTATAAATCAAATCTTTATAGAAGCAGAAGGCCTCAGCTTTCTCCCGTGAAACAACTGATAGATATGAACTTGAAAGTCACTGACCTTGCAGTTAGCAGCACAGTTCGTAATCCACTACGCTGCCAGGGCTCCTTTAAATAGTGGTAGTGAAATAAAATTAAAATTTTTCCTGAGAATTTCATGATAATCTTTGACATAGTTAGAAATGAAAACCTGGCATAGCTAAGTTCATAGATAGAAGCTGTATCCAAAAGCTGCTATCTTTTTTTTTTTAAGAAATTGGTCAGAAAAGATTAAGGAATGTAAGAGTTAAAGTAATTAGAGGTAAATACTGCTGACTGATGGTACATGGAAAGGATTGCAATCATTGTAATGAAATGAAGTAATTTTTTAAAATGTAAAGCTGATGATGTGCTCTGTAAACAATCACTCGATTCACAATAAAAAGTTTTTTTTAAAAAAAGATTAAATACATCTTTGGTTTGTTTTGTTTTTTTTTCTCCCCCTCACATAAGGCTCTTTTCATTGTTTTTTTTGATACATCTACATCCTTGTCCTAGATAACTAATGAAAAGTGGCCAACTTTGTTCATCTTCCACTTTCAACCCTTAAGGAAATTAGTTGAAACTTCGCATCCAGACTTGTCATATTATAGAACAGTAGTTGGGAGATATTTTTTGTAGGGTAACATGCCCAAATTCGGAGATGAGTGGTAGGACAGATATAAGAACCCTAGATTTTTAGACCTGTCATCGTTCCCCCCTATTATGTTATACAAGGAGTTCTGGTGGTGCAGAGGATTATGAGCTGGGTTGCTAACCGCAAGGTCAGTAATTCGAATCTATTTCCTGGGGAGAAGAAGGAGGCTTTCTGCTCCTAAAGATTTACAGCCTTAGAAATCCTATACAGGGGTTGTTATGAGTTGGAACTGACTTGGTGACACACCCCCACCACCATTATGTTATTCACAGTGTACCATCTTTCTTTCAGTTGCCAATTTGACAGTTAAGTTGCATTTTTGTACCATGGAAAAACCTTGTATTTTTATTGTCTCAACTTCAAGTTTATGTACTACCTTTTGTCCCCCATTGAATGGATGCCATATGCTACCATTGTCATGAAGGCTAGGCAAACTGAGTCAGTACCTGCTTTTCTTTTCTACTTTATTATGCAAGGTAGTCTTAAAAAATACTTCTGAGTATCATCACTCAACATTATAGAGGTCATGTTGTAAGAGAAAATAGAATTTTTAATATGGAATAAGAGGTCAGACTGTTTTCTATTAAACATGTCATAATAACACTGAAGATGCTGCCATAGTAACCTGACCTTCATGTTTCAAATGAAAATAATGTATAAGCTCTTTTTTAAAATGAGAAATGAATATATATTGTTTTCCTTCAAATACATGAAAAATAAAAAACAGACAAGAAAAAAAAGAAGAAAGCAATTTCCTCCCACCCCTTTCCTTCCTTTTCTTGTTAACTGCCTTCCCTGTCACCCGAGTTAGCTCACCACCGCACTCTTCTCAGTGATTCATTCTCCCTCCCCTCCCACCCCATATAGACTTTGAGGTCTCTTTTTTTTTGGCTGCTTTATTTGAAGGGCATTTTAAATGTTTAATTCAAGGAGTTGGATGTTTAAATTGGAGTGCAGGAGATAAGTTAAAATTTCAAACTTAACAGTGGAAGCTTCTTTTTTTTTATTTGTTTTTTATTATTTTTTGTTGAGACTTTGACTTTGCTTTAAGACTTCATGTTTATGTTTTATGACTTAATTTAAAAACTGTTGCTTGGCTTTGATAATTGTTATAGATTAAACTGTTTTAATTTTTTGTAATGCTTATTTTTGCAATGTACTTAAAATGATTAAGTTAAATGTCTTTGTGCTTAAACTGAAATCATTTTATTTTGTAGGACGCATGGGAATAAATTTCCATCATCCAGGAACAGATAATATTATGGCACTTAACAGTAAGTCTTCATATGAAATATTCTATAAAATTAGTAGTCAAGTTGGCACCATCTGGTTTCCATGTTCTTTTTAGTTCATCATTTTGGTTTCTACTTCCTTCATTGTTCATCACGTATCAACCATCCACTGAGATCATTCATAGTAGACCTTGACTCTATACAGGGCCTCCACTGGTGTCCCTGGACCAGCATCATCAGTATCACTTGAGAACTTGTTGAAAAAGCCAATTCTCAGATCCCACTCTAGATCTACTTTATGGGTTGTTGTTGTTGTGCCATCAAGTCAGTTCCTACTCATAGCGACTAGTAAGTTTGAACTGCTGACACTAGCTGAGCTCTGGTAAAGCCTAAAATATTTATTGCCAGGCCCTTTATTGAAGATATCTGCCATCCCTGCTCTATACTGTTGGAGCAAAGAAAGGAAGGAGGTAGGTGAAATGAGAGACAGAAGGAAGTGGGTTGTTGTAAATCAACTTATTTATACATAATTCAGAATTTTTCTCGTGGTAGGCAGCCATTAAGTATTTCAAACATTATATCCAGGGTGTTCCATTAGTAGAGCTTGTGTAATATTTTAGGTATCAACAGCTTTGCACCTTACCAGTATATAATTGTGGGATTAAGTTCTGGAGCACCACAGATTTATTAAACAGAATTAGCTGGCTGAGCTGCCATCAACTTCCTTCTTAGTGTCCATGAATGAAATGACTTTGTAGAAGAGCAGTCTCTAAATGGGAATTATTGGTCATCAAAAGAACCTGTTCTAGCCATTGAATCTATCAGGATTTAGTTTTCTTTTCTAGCAAATGAGTGGTAACAGATTGTCCCTATTTGACCTCTCAGATCATGTGATCATGTAAGCTGACTGAATACATACGGAAGGCATACTGGGTAGATCTAGGATTGTGTGCAATTTTGTACTCTTTTTCTCATTGTTTCAGTAAGAATGTTGGATATACCATTGGCGTACTAATACCTTAGATAAAATTTTATGTTATTCTAAATATATATATGCTGCATTTCCGTAGTTCCTGCTTACTAGTGAGCAGTGCTGAGACTCACTGGTAAGCAGCACTTGGTGATTTCCTAACCCATTGCATACATCTTTTTTTTTTCTAGTTAGCTTGCATATCCTCTTTTGGAATGTCTTGGAGATAATAAAAAATTCATACTATACACGTGCACTTTCTAATTTCTAAAAGAAAGATCAATTTACATTTAGACTATGCTACCTCTAATTTTTTCTAAGGAGCCCTGGTGACACAAAGAGTTAAGTGCTCAGCTGCTAACTAAAAGCTTGGCACTTCAAGCCAATATGCTTCCATAAAGATTGCAGAAAAGCAAAGCCAAAACAACCCTATGGGACAGTTCTATTCTGTTCCATGGGATTCTTTTGAGTTAGAAGTGATTTAACAGTATCCAGCAACATTTTTTCTAGATAGATTTAGGTGGGGAATTAATGAACAAAATACTTAACCTGCTGAGCTTCAGCAATAATTACATTGTGAAAAGACTTCAGTTACAAGTTGGTGACTCTCGAAGTAAAAATAAGTAAATAAATTATGGTACTATGTCTGACTAACAGAATGTGTGTGTATTTAAGAAAATGCATATTCTTACATAGTTTGAGTATTCATCTATCTGCAAGAGCAACAGGATATGATTTGTGATTTTCTGTATTAAAAATGGTGCTGAAAGACACTTTTTGAAAAAAGAAGAAACTGATTCTTAGCTTTTCTTTGATTCTCTGCTTTTAGATAAGAGATTTTATATATATATATATATTCTTTCCACTTTGTGCATGTTGCTTAAACCCCCTTATCTGTTTCCTCACCTGTGAAAGAAGAAGGTTGAATTAGATAATCTTGAAAATTGCTTTCGGTATAAAAATTCTGTGATTTTGCAGTATTTTTAAAGTTCTACAAAGCAATTTTGCCAGTATCTATAGCAAATGTTAGTGAGTTTTGTACATCTACAAAATTATGGCAGATGTCAGAATGCATCCTGAAATGATTCCAAAGTGGAAGAACCCTGTGTTGTTGTTAGATGCCCTAGAGTCCGCACTCACTCATAGCAACCCTATTCACAACAGAACAAAACACTGCCTAGCCCTGCACTATCCTCACAGTTGTTGTTTTGTTTAACCCCATCATTGCAACCACTGTGTCGGTCCATCTCATTGAGGGTCTTCCTCTTTTTTACTGATCCTCTTATTTTACCAAGCATTATGTCCTTTTCTAGGGCTGGTCCCTCCTGACAATATGTTCAAAGTATGTGAAACCAAGTCTTGCTATCCTTGCCTTCAAGAGCATTCTGGCTATACTTGAAAAATAGATTTATTTGCTCTTTTGGCATTCCATGGTACTTTCAGTATTGTTCACTAACACTATAATTCAGTGCTTCAGTTCTTTTCTGGTTTTCCTTATTCATTGTCCAGCTTTAACATGCATATGAGGCAATTGAAAATACCATGACTTGGCCAGGCACATTTTAGTCCTCAAAGTGACATCTTTATAACACTTTAAAGAGGTCTTTTGTAGCAGATTTGCCCAGTGTAATACATTATCTGATTTCTTGACTGCTGATTCCATAAGCATTGATTGTGGATCCATGTAAAAAGAACTCACTGACAACTTCACTCATTTCTCCATTTATCATGATGTTTATTTGTTCAGTTGTGAGAATTTTTGTTTTCTTTACGTTGAGTTGTAATCCACACTGAAGGCTGTATTCTTTGATCTTCATCAGCAAGTGCTTTAAGTTCTCTTCTCTTTCAGCAAACAAAGTTGTGTCATCTTCATATCGCAGGTTGTCAGTGAGTTTTCCTCCAATTTTGATGCCATGTGTTTTCTCCATATAATCCAACTTCTCAGATTATGTGTTCAGTATACAGATTGAATAAGTATGGTGAAAGAATATAACTCCTGAGGCACACTTTTACTGATTGTAAACCACCAGTATCCCCTTGTTCTCTTTGAATGATTGCCTCCTTATTTAAGTATGTGTTTTAAATGTTCACGCTTACCTCCTGCAAAATTTTACTTGTCTGTGGTATTAATGATAATTAATGAATAATTTCCACATTCTGTTGGACCTCCTTTCTTTAGAATTAGCACAAATATGATTGGCTAGGTAGCATAGAGTAGGGAGTACTTCCAGCACTGCATCAGTTTGTTGAAACATTCCATTTGGTATTCTGTCAATTCCTGAGCCTTGTTTTTTTCCTAATATCTTCAGTACAGTTTGGATTTTTCTTCAATCTCATTGGTTCTTGCACATATGTTGTTGTTGTTGTTAGGTGCCACTGATTTGGTACCGACCCATAGCGATCTTATGTACAGCAGAACGAAATACTGCCCGATCCTGAGCCAACCTCACTACTGTTGCCATGCTTGAGCCCATTGATGCTGACACTTGGCTACCATCTTGCTGGGGGTCTTTCTCTTTTTCTCTGACCCTCCACCTTACCAAATATGATATCCTTCTCCAGCAACTGGTCCCTCCTGACAATATGTCCAAAGTATGAGAGATGAAGCCTGGCCATCCTGGCCTCCAAGGAGCACTCTGGCTGCACTTCTTCCAACACAGATCTGTTAGTTCTTTTGGCAGCCCATGGCACTTTTAGTACTGTCCTTCAACACCATAACTCAAAAGCATCAATTCTTCTTTGGTCTTCCTTATTCACTGTCCAGCTTTCACATACATATGAGGTTATTGAAAATGCCATGGCTTGGGTCAGGCACACCTTATTCCTCAAACTGACATCTTTGCTCTTCAACACTTTAAAAAGGTCTTGTGCACTCTTTGGTTGGTTGATGATGCATGGTAGGGATTGTAACTATGGCAATGAAATGATAATATTATAGGATGAATGTAAAACTAATGTTCTCCCATGTAAACTATCACATAATTCACAATAAAACATTAAAAAAAAAGGTCTTGTACAGAAGATTCACCTAATGTAATATGTCGTTTAATTTCTTAACTGCTGCTTCCAGTGAGTGTTGATAGTTGGTACAAGAATGAAGTCCTTGACAACTTCAATCTTTTCTCCATTGATAAGAATGTTGTCTATTGGTCCAGTGGTGAG